GAACAAAAGTGAAATGGCGTGCGGAAAATTAAACGAATTTGACATTAATTCCGGGGACTGGACATTATACGTGGAAAGGTTAGAAATGTACTTTAAAGTGAACAAAGTGGAAAAAGACTTATGGCTGCCTACTTTAATTACCGCGATCGGTGATCAAGCGTATGAATTGCTTAGCAGTTTGGCGAGTCCGATTAAACCAGTGCAATTAACATATGATGCGGCGGTTGCATTATTGCGTAATCACTTACAACCGCGGCCGTCCGTAATGGCGGAACGTTATCGCTTCCGACAAAGAAGACAACGGAACGATGAATCTGTGGCGCAGTACGTAACCGAATTAAAAAAATTATCGAAATACTGTGAGTTTACGAATAATCTAGAAGAAAACTTGCGGGATCAATTAGTGTGTGGGTTACGGAGTGACGTCACACGGCAACGGTTATTCGCTGAGGATAATTTAAATTATAACGGCGCGTTGAAGTTGGCATGTGCCCTAGAAGCAGCTGAACGGGATGCTGCAGTGGTGGAGGGCTCGAAGGCACCCTCTGTAGAAGGGGTTCACGTGATGATGGGTCGTGGATCAAAGGAGCCTGAAACAAGGCAAAGGGGACCGAAGCAGCCTGGACCTAGGATCCCTGTCCCAAGTGATTGGACATGGGGGGAGGACAAAAGCTGTTCAACGTGCGGGAAGCCAGGCCATAATAACAAGGTTTGCCGCTATAAAGGTTTTACATGTCGGAGATGTAAAGAAAAAGGACATCTGCAACGGGTTTGTCCGAGGTCGGGAAGCCCTAGAAGAGGAAAGAAAGTCAACCATGTGGCTGCCTCTGATCGATCGGACGGTGATAGCAGTTCGGAAGAGGAGTTGCATCAACTCAGCTTAAATAGTTATAAGCCGGTAAGCTTAGAAATATGCATAGATAATATTGTATTAAAAATGGAAATAGATACAGGGTCTGCAGTGTCATGCATTAGCAAGAGAACGTATGATAAATATTTTAAGCATATAGTAATAGAAAAAAAAAACTTAACCTTTAAGTTTTATGATGGTAGCTCGATACAGCCGTTAGGGATAATTAAACCTAATGTTTGTTATAATAATGTATGTAAAAAATTAGATTTATTTGTTATTGAAGGGGGAACTACGTCGTTATTGGGGAGACAATGGCTGTCCGAGCTAGGAATACAAATACCCTCTTTTCATAAAAATATTAATTGTGTGCAAAAATGTACTAATTTGTCGAATTACGATGTAAAAACTTTAATTAACAGATATGATCAACTGTTCAGTGGCGGGCTGGGGTGCTTCACGGGCGGCAAGGCTCAGTTGCGAGTGCGGGATGGAGCGACCCCAGTGTTCTGTCGCGCGAGGCCGTTACCTTACGCGCTGAAGGGTCAAGTGGACGCGGAATTAGATAAAATGTTGCGAGACGGCATAATTGAACCGGTGAACAGTTCGGACTGGGCAACTCCGTTAGTACCGGTACGTAAGAGTGACGGGGGATTACGCTTATGCGCGGATTATAAAATTACAATTAATCCCGTCTTACTGATCGATAGGTATCCTTTACCGAAAATTGAGGACTTATTAGTTAGTTTAAATGGAGCTCAATGGTTTTCGAAAATTGACTTATCACAGGCTTACAATCAGATTGCTTTAGATAATTCTAAGGATTTGACAGTTATTAATACACATAGGGGGTTATTTAAGTATAATAGGTTGGTATTTGGACTCTCATCTAGTCCGGGGATTTTTCAGCGTATAATGTCCCAGTTACTTGGTGATATGCCCGGAGTAGAAGTGTTCCAGGATGACGTCATAGTTGGAACCAAGGGAGGTCGCGAGGAGCATTTAGCTACACTCGAAAAAGTTTTTTTTATAGATTGCAATCTCATGGTATGAAATTAAAAAAAAGTAAATGTTCATTTTTAGTAGAAGAAGTTAAATATTTGGGTTATGTAATATCTAAAGAGGGTGTTAAGGTAGATAAGGATAAAATTGAAGCCATTGTTCGAATTCCACGTCCAAAAGATGTATCCGAGCTAAGGTCATTTTTGGGCTTAGTTAATTTTTATGCTAAATTTGTTAAAAACATAAGTCAAATCTTGTATCCGTTATATAAATTATTAAAAAAAGGAATAGGGTGGAAATGGTCGGATGATTGTGAAGAAGCGTTTATTAAAATTAAAAAAAATTTTAACGAGTACGAAAGTCTTAGCCCATTACGATGCGGAAAAAACATTGATTCTAACTTGTGACGCGAGCTCAAGAGGCATCGGCGGCGTCCTCGCTCAACCGGAGCCGGGGGGCGCCGAGCGGCCGGTAGTGTACGTATCGCGCGCGTTAACAGAGACCGAGAAGCATTATTCACAGATCGATCGTGAGGCGCTTGCAATTGTATTTTGTTTAAAAAAAAAATTACATCAATATTTATACGGTAGGCGTTTCACGTTGCGAACGGATCATAAACCCCTAGTTAGCATTTTTGGCCCCAAACATGGCATTCCGGCCATGGCAGCGAGTCGTATGCAACGATGGTCAGTAATATTATCTGCGTACACTTACGATATTGAATACGTTAATACAAAACATAACAGCGCCGACGGCTTATCGCGACTGCCCGGCCGCAATGTGAGCGGGGATGACTCACCTCTCGATCCGCCCGAACAGACTTATTTACATTTCGCTCAAAGTGAATTATTGCTCGATTATAATAAAATTAAACAACAAACATTGCGAGATCCTTTATTAGGGAGAGTATTACTGTATATTAAAAGTGGCTGGCCGGATCAAAATGAAATAAGGGAATTGCAACCTTATTTTAATAGAAAAAAAGAGTTATACGAGGAATTAGGATGTATCATGTGGGGTCATAGGGTGGTAATTCCTGAAAACTGTAGGGATAGGGTTTTAATGGATTTGCATGAACCGCATATGGGGGTTAGTAAAACTAAAGAGATGGCCCGCAGCTACGTGTGGTGGGCGGGGATCGACGAAGCGGTGGAGGCGGTATGCAAGCAGTGCGAAGTGTGTGCCGCGGAGGCGGATGCACCAACCCGTCATACTGTAAATCCATGGCCGTGGCCTTCAAGGCCCTGGTCACGGATTCATTTAGATTTTTTGGGTCCTTTTCAAGATAAAATTTACTTAATTTTAATTGACGCGAGAACTAAGTGGATCGAGGTATATCCTGTTCCTAGTACCGCCGCGCGTTATACATTGAATAAATTAGAGGAAGTTTTTGCGAGATGGGGGCTACCGAAGCAGATGGTAACCGACAATGGTCCGCCATTTACAAGTACGGATTTTTCAAAATTTACAAATAAATTAGGCATAGAACATTTATTTTCAGCTCCTTACCACCCTGCGTCAAACGGTGCCGCCGAAAATGCTGTACGTACGATAAAAAAAGTAATACGAAAAGCAATCCGTAAAAAAAAAGAGGACATTCAATCATTTCTTAACACGTTTTTATTACATTACAGAAACACGGAACATAGTACTACTGGGGAAAGCCCTGCTTCTCTAATGTTAGGACGTAGTTTACGTACAAAATTAGATTTACTTAGACCAGATAGGGATAAAAAAGTGAAGGAAGCCCAAACGCGTCAAAGGAAGTTAGGAACAGAGAACAGTCGGTCTTTAGAGCCGGGAGAGAATGTGTGGATGCGACAGTATCAGGGCGCTAATAAATGGGTGTCGGGTAAGGTTATAGAACGATTAGGCGCGACGGATTATAGCATTTTAGATGATGTAGGGAGAGGATCGCACAGACATATTGATCAGTTAAGACGGAGATCTACGCGTAATTCCATAGTTGCTCCATACACTCCATCGCAGCATGATTCCCCTGGGGTTCGGACACCGGCACTCATGAGCGATAGTCCAAAGATGCCAAGAATGGGTGAGCCGGTTGTCAGAGAGGAGTCGTGTGGAGAGAGACCGCCACCAGAGCTAAACGAGCCAAAGACTGATATGGTTCCAAGTTCGCCCACACTCGCAGCTGAGTCGCCGCTGCCCGTGTCACCGCCTCGGATACGGCCAATACGCAAATGTCGTTTAATTAAACCATTGCATGATAGTGTTAAATAATTTAATATATTGTAAGTTTACTTAATAATAAATAAGTTAATATTAACATTTAAAAAATATATATATATATATGTTTAAATCTTATGACTTAGGTTAAGCTAATTGTATTCGGCTAAGGGGTTGTATTGTATAGAGGGGAGGAGTGTAGTAAAGTGGGTAATTTCATATAACTTGTGTATAAGATTTGTATTTAATAGACAGTTTGTGCCATACCATTTCATTCGTAATATAGCGGTACTCAAGCAGCAAGTATATTTATTTCTCCCTATTTAATAAGTTCAATTGTAATAAAATTTTCTCGTGAACGTCTGACTTCGCATTCACCGAGTACTAACGCTAAGACAACCGCTGAGCAAAAATCCAGTTCTAAAGAAGAAAACAACATACGATGTGGCAAACCAAACGCATATGGAAGTGAATATGACTCAAAAAAAAATGTAAAAATACAGTTATACAAATAATTGTTATTCTACCATATATATATATATATATATATATATATATATATATATATATATATATATATATATATAAATGTATATATATTTATAGTCTCAGGTACACCTTGTATTTCATGAAATAAAATATAATGGATGTTTTTGTAGTGTATTTAATTAAATGTATTCAATACGTCATATGTTTTATTGAATCGAAAAAGTGACCATCTATGTAAATCAAAAATCGAATTAATTGGTTTTGATCAAGTTTATTTAAACAAAAAAACAACTTTAACGTTTTGATACCATATATTTATTTCTTAATATTTATTAATTTATAAACACTCTTAAATTAAAATAATTTATAGCAAAAACCATTTACATTTCATACTGAATTAATTACCTTATGCTAAAATTGTTTGAATTAATAAAATAAACAATCATTTAAGGTACTTCTGATTAGAATTTACTTCTGATTCATCATCAGGGGTGATGTTTTCTTTTTTTGAGGGTTTTTTCTTTATATTTTGTTCTCGTGTGCGGAACATTTTACTTTCGTCCGCACACTTTGTTGTGATACTGGTCCTGAAATTTTTAAAGAGATTCTTAGTTGAAATTTTTATTACAAAATTCCTTTATGAAAATCTTAAATACTTTTTCGATACAGGAAAATATATTATTTTCATACCTGACAACATTTTCGGGGACGCAACATTTTTCTACGACCGTCTGCACAATGTCATTAACTAGCATTGGATCAAGCTTCTTTTTAGCAGGTTTGTTTGGAAATGCTGGTGAAGGTTTTCCAGTTAATGAGTGGGTCGCCAGTACTCTGAAAATATAATATTTACTTATGATACTAGAACGAAATTTTTCCACTATGAAATTAAAGTTTTGTACTGACTTTCTCGAAAAAACTGCAGTTAGTAGTTTCCTTGTTGCATTTGTGTATGAAGTCCAATCCATATGCTTAAGAAGCCTGGCTGGGACCACAGCGTTTCCGTCTCCAATAGGCACCTAGACATTAAGGAGCATTACAGCATATTTATATAACAATAACACTGATAATATAAATAATACAAAACTTATTTCACCTTGTCTTTATTAGTTTTAACAGTATTTTTCGGCGTCCAAGCTTTTATTCGCTTTACATCGTTGTCTATAGTATCTTCATCTTTATTTAATGTAGAATCGTAATCTCCTATTGAACTCTGAAAAGATATGTTAAGTAGAAAGTTTTAATGTTAAAAATATACCACTTATATCTTTAGTAATTTAACTTACGAAGTCTGTGGTGACTGTCGAATTTCTTTTTCGCTTATGCGATCGCCTCCTCTGCTGTGGTCTGAAGTCATCACTCGAATAATCAGTAATTCGTTCTAATGAGTCCGTAACTGAAGAAGTCTCTTGCTCTTTGGTTTTGAGTTTCGCTTCTAGTTCTTCTATTCTGGCACATAAACCTTTAATAACATTTCTCATTTTTTCTATTTCAGGTTCGTTATCTTCGTCGATATCCGTTTGGGTTGCTATATCGTATGTTGTTATCTTCTTTGGTACTGGACTGGTGTTTCGACTTTTCCTTCCTGGCGACACCTTCCACGATTTTCGCTCAGCGGTTGTTCTAGGGTTAGGGCTGCTACTCGGTGAAAGCGAAGTCTGAAATTCATGAGATATTTATTTTTATTAAAAAAAATCTTTATGAGTTTTAAAAAAATAAATAAAGGAACTACTGATATTTTTAATACCTTGGAATTTACGAAACTATTGAAAATTGTTGCAATATGAACTTGCCCATCCATATTGGCCATAGGGTGGGAATTGACTCTCTCTGAAATTTATAAAATCCATAATGAAAACACATATTTCAATAACACGTACAAATTTATCGGAGTAGATATGTAATAATGAATGAAATAGATTTTTGTTTATCTATTATTGGGAAAACAAATTTACCATAATTATTCCTGTGTAAGTCCAACAAGGCCAGAGCCGCATCCATTTCGGATGTTATCATCACAGTAGTCATTGTCAACTGAAAAAAATAACCATTGCTTACCAAATTTATATATAAGTTTTGCTTTTAATAGACTCTAAGTTAAACAAAACTAGTACATATAAAAAAAATATGTACGGTTCCATTGCATGTCGCAGGTACAAAGTAAATATGTAGTTCGTTTGTCTCGACGTACACAACGTTAACGGTAATATTCTTTATGTTTTATTGTTGCTGACTCTAGTCTACCATCCATTACTATTGTTTACTTATTACATCCTAATGGATCAGATTATGTCTAAATAACATCTTTTATTTAAAACACTTCTACTTACTTACTGTAGGTTTTAAGTGTTAGCCTAATTCTTAGACAACATACTTTTAATCGATATTGAAGGACGCTTGAATATTTTATATTTAATACGTTAGTTATAGCAATTTTTTTATGCACTTGTTATTTAAAACTTTATGTTTTCCTGACTATGGACTTTAAATAAAAAAAATCATACTATTTAAATTCAAGTCTATAGTCGAAGTTTTGTTATCTTGTAGTTATGTTGTATGGGATAATATGTAATTAAAAAGTAGTAAATTTGTTTTTATTCAAATGAGTACACGTGGGAATCGTAAATATAATTATAAAAATTGAAACTATCAAAATGTTCTGTTTTTAATACTATTAAATTATCGCAACTCTCTGATGTCTACCAATATAATATAAGTTCATTAATTAATATAAATTATTTAAACACAGGAAATAATTTTTCTACAATCATCGAACATAAAATTGAACAAAATATATTTGTTATTTGAAATTACTAATATATACAACCTGACACTACATTAACAAACCAGTTAGAACTCAAACGAAAATACGTTTACACGTAAAAATATTCCGTTTAGAAATATTCTAAATTGATTAAAATTAAACTTACCGATATAAAAAATTACTATCACAGTTAAGAGATCACAATACCAACAAGTTTGGTAACTTCCTCAATTACCGAGTGTACACTGACCAATATTTGTAACAGGGTTGACTAAGTCACCTCGCCATCGGGTAGCTTTGGGGGTTTCATTACATTTCTCTTTTGTTTCATTACCAGGTACATCCTTAATTCTTATTGGCCTCTATTGTTTTTAATTCTTCCAAATATAGATAAGACTACCAAGAAAATTCCATTCACTAGTAACTAGTTAATCCGTTTATTGGACTAATCAGCTTTCATGTGTTATTTTTATTGTTCTTTCTTTTATAAAATTTATTTTATTTTTAAAATACCAGCAATTGTTTTGTTCATATTTTGAAACAATTAAGTGAGTCTGTCTTTATTATTTCGGTGTATTTTGAACAATGTTGTTCGTTTTACAATCGTTAGGTTTAAATAATAAGTCTTATTCATTTATGGTTAAAGATCTTTATTCTCATAAGAACGTATGTACATAGGTTCACTTACATGAGATTAGACAATGTTACACACATACATTAATATTTGATACATGGAATGGCTAGTACTACTTATTAGTATTGTCTAATATATATATATATATATATTAAGTTTATTTTTAAAAGCATTTCATCATTTACATTCGTTTATGTACTTTGGCAAATCATTATATAGTTGTACTCCATCAAAATGTATATATTTGTGTCCATAATTTAAGTTTCTGACTTTAGGTAATTCAAGTTTATGTCTGTTTTTTAAGATATGCTTGTTTGATTTTTGTGTAAATGTTTGAATTAATAGTTTTAGGTATGTAGTATCTTTTTAATTAAAATACATGTGTTATAAATATATGTTTGATTAAGGTTGAATAATTTTGATTTTTTGTACAGTTCTATCGACGGTGTGAAAAAGTCATAGTAAAAAAGTACTTTTATAATTTTGTTCTGCGTAATTTGTAAGATTTTAAGGTTAGACTTTGAAGCTAACCCCCACTTTTCAATTAAGTAATCAATGTGTGGCTTTATCACGGAATTGTAGATAACACTTAGCTTTTTTTTTGGTATACAATTATTAGATCTTAGGAGTGCTCTTACAATGGATGAGAGTTTTGATTTAAATGAAACTAATATGCAGAGCTGTTAAAGTGTTGCCTATCATCTGAATATCTCATATGGAAGAATGAATTCTACATACAAGTAGGTGGAGTTGCAATGGATTCACCGGTTTCCCCCCTTTGTCGCTAATATATACATGGATGACTTCGAGGTGCGAGCCCTTTGCTCTCCTCGAGTAAGACCTTTAATATATAAACGGTATTTAGATGACTCCCACAAAATATTAAATAAAAAAAACATCTGCTTTTCTGAATCATTTTAATTCTATCAATAGCAAGATTCAGTTTACTATAGAATTAGAGGCAAATAATTCATTAGCTTTTCTTTATATATTGTCATCAGGAATCCTGATAATACTTTGGGATATACTGTTTATAGGAAACCCACACATACGGATAGGTATAACAATGGTTATTCACACCACCACCCTATACAGTTAGCTACCGTTGGCAAATCGTATGCCAGAAAATTAAGAAATCGATGGTGGTAGGTGATAAATAACAAGACCAACATACAGACACTCACATCTCGTCTGCCCGTGATCCCAGTAGCTTAAAAGTAGCCGAAGCGTCGGGAGTATGTAGTTTTTATCAAAAATAAAGTCGCGTAAATATCCGAAAAATATCAGTTTCATTCAAACGTTAGGTTTAAAATTTTAAATTACTTAAAATAACTCTGTTTTTAAATACCCCCATCACATAATTAAAGGGGAATTATTTATATAAGTGATATTTATAATGAATGAAGATCAATTAAATCAAATTTAATTTAGTCTATTAACTTCATACAACATCCTGGGAACGGATTCAATATTAGTTCTTATAAACCACAAGCATATAATATGTCAGGTCCAATTCACCCTCACCAATTTAGCTCTCAACATCATCAAGGTTGGCGGCCTAATATGTCTCCAATGCACCTACCCCGTGGTCTTACATACACTCAACAAATGTTCCGTGCTCCACCTCCAAATTATAACACGCACAGTAACCTCTTTAGAGCTCCCAATAAGCCACCTTTACAGCAGACTTAACTTTTTAATAATATGACGCGTCCTATGAGTGGCGACAGTCACTTCGTATCCAAACTCTTACCTTTGACCGGACATAATTGGCGTAGAGACGGTAACCTGCCACCGAATAACTATTTTAGAACTCGAGAAATTAATAACTATTAATTTGATTACGAATCTTATTTTACGACTACCAATACTTTGACCTTTACCAAGAGCATACAGATTACTTGTCGAACGTAGAACAGTGTGAGTATCCGATAGTAAAGTACCCTAAATCATATGTTAATGAAATAAAACTTAAAAAATTCCCAAGGCCGAGATATCAGACAAACGAAAATAGAAATTAATTTTAATACTCAGCGGCAATTAGGATATATACAAATAGATGACCAGCCCCTAAAACTACTCATAGACGCGGGAGCTAATCAATCTTTTATATCACCCCAGGCAGTCGAAAAATACTTCACTCACATACTTCTTAATCATACAGAATTTAAAGAAAACGGCGACATCGCGTTTTTCATTCATAATTTTTATAATTATTTCGATGGTATTATTGGATTGATTTTTAAAATAAAGAGTGATTTTTAAAATAAAGAGTTAATTACTAAAAAGACGGATATGCCAATTGTTATGTATGATGCTCGAATTGCAAATCTTTACGAAAAAATAATACCAGCCCGGACATCAAAGTTAGTAAAATTGCCAATCAATTCAAAGGATAGGGATGTATTTGTTCCTAATCAGATTATTAGTAATTGTTTAATTATGATTGTTTCAGTAACGTACAGAACAATCGAGGCTGGATAAAAATTTCAAATTATTCAAATAATGATGTAATTTTCTCAATGAATCATCCCGTTACAGACGAAATATTTAATATAAAAAAATAGTATTTAACATCACTTTCTAATCGAACGAAAGAAGTTTTATCGCGTCCTCGCACCGACCATTTGAAACCAGAACCGCTAGCTAATTTAAAAAAATGTGCACGTTATTGAGATGTATTTTATCATGAGCGAGGGAACCCTTAACATTCACGAATAAAATCAAACATAAAATTGAAACGACCAATGAAGTCCCCATTCATGCCAAAACTTATAGGTATCCATATATTCACAAACAAGAGATAAGAGATCAAAAAAAATTGTTTGAACAAAATATAATTCAGACTTCCGAATCCAAGTACAGCTCTCCTATTTGGGTAATTCCTAAAAAGGTGATGCTTCCGGTAAAACTAAATGGTGCTTAGTCGTAGATTTTTGAAAAGTTAACGAAAAGACTATTGACGATAAGTACCCCATCTCAATATATCAGACATATTGGATAAATTGGGATATACTAAAATAGGCGTTACAACAATTCTGTATTATCCCTCCACCATGTAAGCCTTTCATATCTGTTCATTTGGATTTATTAACCATACGGAGCGAAAAGTTTTAATAATCGTCGATACATTTTTGAAATACGCGCAGTCGACAGTTGTATTATCTAAAAGACGGAACGGCAATAAGTATAGTTCAAGCAGTACTCAAATTCTGTACTCACCACGGTATATCTTATATTTTAGTAACAGACAACGGTCCTGAATTCTCAAAACAAGTATTTGCTGAATTTGTAAGACTATATAAAATTCAACATAATAAAATAGCACCTCACACTCCACATGAAAATGAAATTTTTGAAAGATTTCATTCAACACTTTTAGAATATCTACGAATACTTAATATGGAATTAAAGAATGAATCCTTTATTAATTTAATTAATTATGCCCTTTTAGCTTACAATAGTTCAATACACAATTTTTAATACAGAGTTACTAAATGTAGACCGATTGACGTTATAACTGGACACTTTGACCTGCAAGACCCATTAGACCTGACAGCTCATTTATTCCAACAGTATACCATAAAACATACAGATTAAATGAACAAGGCTTATAATTTAATTCATGAA